GATAGGTTCCCTGAAGATTTTTCTTACCTTACTCCCCTTTCAGTAGGGAGAAAAAGTTAATACTCTTAAGTAGTTTTAAATCTCATTTTGGTCTTTGCTTTACCTGTGCTTCAGGAAGTGCTGCCTTCCGTTATGCAGCCTCCAACTACACCTGAGCTGAAAGCCTCGAAAACTAAGGCCCGTTAGTCATTAATTGACAAAATGCCTGTGAAAATCACTGTACGTAATGCATGTTATTAAACTTCAGTATCTAAAATCTACAATGCTCATGTAAATGTGTACCAACTGGATGTTAGTTACATATACTCACAATTTGTATTCTTTAAGGGCAAATTATCTTTCGTATTTTTATTAATGCAATTTCAAAAATTCCACGTCGAAAGCAGCAAGATTCAATTACTTTATAAGACTGCAAAGGAGCAAATTTAAAAATGCCTTAAAAGGCATTTATGGAGACTTGTCTCAAGGCAAGGCTTACGACAATCAACAAAGAGGCAGTACTGAGATGTTAAACTGAAAGCATGTTACACTTGAGCTGAAATGCCCTCTGTGCTTGAACCACTTTGTTAAAAGTGTTACATATGAAAAAGGTTTCCGATCTTCCTGCCTCTGGTCATGCCAACAATGGAAATCTAGCTTCATCTGACTTATAATAAGTGAAGTACAAGATCTCACTGGGCAAGGAAAAAAGTAAATGCTCTTCTTGATATAACCAGTATCTTTGCTCTCTGGGCCATTGTTTTTCTTATGTAAGCAGATACATAAGGACAGATACCTTTTCAAACTTGAGCCATATAATTCTAATAGTGGTGGGAGAGTAGAGAGAAAAGAGATCAGAGACTGAACCATCCACAAAACAGCATGTTTCTCAGCTGTGGCTAAATACTGGAATCACCAGGGGATGCTTTCAAAATGCCCCAAACCCAGGCTGCACCAAGAGTAATTACATTAAAGATATCTGGCATGGGACCCAGGCAGCAGTGATTTTTTTAAAGTGCCCCAACCACTCCCCGAGTAAATCACTGTTCTGTAAGGTAAAGAACCACAGCAGCAAGATACAACTTGTTCTTTAGACGATTTTCAGGCTCCTGACACTCTCCTTTAGAAAGCAAAAAAAGCTTGGAGATAAAAATGATAAACAGCTGAGAGATAAAAGGACCACGAGCAGCAGTTTTTGAGGAAAAGTGCTTCTGAAATCCTTTGATCTTTTATTCTTCAAGGAAATAGCCAAATGGATGAACGAAGGCAAATGCGTTTGAATCTCTGTGGTTTCGCCAGGATGTTAGTGTTCCACAGAAGATTAGGCCAAGAAGCAGTTCAAATTAGCTCTATCAAGTGGCTCTCAAACTGGCTGGCAAGTGGTAACAACAAAGAGACCCCCTCAGGTTTAACTAGGGCTGGATAGAGAGGTAAGTGACAGAAATAGAAGGACACTCCTGAGTCTGGCTTTATTTAACATCTTTAGCTACCTTTTGGGAAAAAAGCCATTAATTTCCATTTACTGGGAACAGCACATTACTACATTCTCAAGCTATCAGGGAAAGGGAAGATGTGTATGGGTTCTCTTACAAGACTCCTGTGCCAGACAGGCCAATGCTACTCAATCTGCTTAAAGCACAGAAGACAATCCGTCTCAACCGCTGTCAATATGGGGTTCACTTACCCAGAATCACACAGTTAGTTCTTCGACAAAAGTTCACTCTTAGAGGCAGGACCCCCGCAGCCTTGTGGCTTTATGGTCATCCAAAAGGAGGAATCCACAAAGAAACAGAAAGCCATAAAACCACAAGGCTGCAGCGTCCTGTCTTTAAGAATGAACTGTTGAAGAGTCAGGGCTGTGATGCGAGACCAGAGTTGAATTTGCAGTGCCTGCAACTGTATGATCCTGGGTAAGTGAAGACGCTGCACAGAGTCTCAGATTCCTAGAACAGAAAATGAGCCTGATGATATCACCATCTTGTGGGATCGTGAGGACTAAATTAACCGAGGTGGAGTATGTGAAACACTTCACGCACTGTCTACCAAACAGTGGATGCATAAGAAAGGGATTCTTGTGATTTTTGCAGGCAAGGCCAAGGAATTTTAAGGGACTCTACAAAGAGGGCATGAAGTAGAAGTCCCCATCCTAATCATTTTACAGGGATTAAAACAAATGGCAAGGAAAAACCAATGATGGCTAGTTTTTCTAAATGAGGCTGGTATTATTCTGCTGTGTGCCAGCCACTGTGCTAGGCACTGTGGGTCCAAGGCAGAAGCCTCTGGCCACTGGAACCTCTAGACTTCTTAAGAGGTATGAATTCATGGGGGAGAACAGAGGAAGATCATCTAAGCCAGGACTGGACGTCAGAGAAGGCTTCCTGGAGAAAGCGAAAGGCCAGGAGAAAGTTAGAACATGCTGAGTGAGGTGTAGGGAGATGACGAAGCAGCCTGGAGAAGTTGGAGGAATGTCTAAGTAAGAGGAGGAAGCACATGCAAAGAGGCCAGCAGATGAAGCCAGGAGCAGATAGGGAATGAGGGGGAGAGAGGTGGGGAGAGTGAGGGCA